GTGGTTACCCAGGCGCTAGCGCAGGAAGTCTGTTGCAGTCCTCAAGCTTTTTGCAGCTAATGGGCTAGTTACTGATTCACCAAGAAGCCCGAGGGGGCCTCAGGTCTGTCCTTAAAATCCAGTTAACCTATTGAACGAGAGGAAGCCCAAGTCCCCCCAGGGGGCGGGGAACCCCCCGCCCCAGAGGCCCGTTCCCCGGCGGCACCAGATCGGGCCCCAGGGGGAACTCCTCCCCGATGTGCGCGTCACCCGGAGTTTTCCCTTGGATGGCCGTGGCCCCGCCCCCAGCGTGCCTGGTGTCCTCCCGTCACTTCCGGGTGATGTGCGTGCGGCGCGCGTGTGCGTGCGCATGCACCAGACACCGGCCGGGAGCCCCCCGCTCCCGGCGAAGATCAACTTGGCAACCCTACTGGAACGTAATTTAAATTATCATCCAGTAGGGTCGCCAGGTCCAGATTGGGAAATACCTGGAGATTTGGGGTGGTAGAGCCTGAAGAAAGCGGGGGTTGGGGGGGGGGGGGGGACTTCAACAGGGTATAACGCCGTAGAGCCCACCTTCCAAAGCGGCCGTTTTCTCCAAGTGAACTGATCTCGGTTGCTTGGAGATCAGTTGTAATACCAGGAGATACCACCTGGAGGCTGTATCGATATAAAGACAACCCGTGAATGAATTACGAGCAAAAGCAGAAAGATTATGTTGTATAAAACCATACGAACAGTTTTAAATCTTAAGTTCAACAAACCCTGATATATTTTTAAAGAGCTAGGATCAAAAAGTGCTTGATACAAAGGGGAAACTCAGACGAAGTCCACAAATCCTTTGTATAGAAAACTTCAGAAGAACAAAGGTTCTACGTCTTCCAGGAGTAGCAGCAAGGGGTCATTTCGTAGAAAAAGAGGTACAGGAGCTCATTAGCATACCTTATTAGCATAACTTATTTGCATACACCACACCCCCTGACATCACCGGAAGTGTGTCAGAAGGCAACAGCCACCGCTCAGGCTCCACTGGACTGTTTTGGATTGCTAGCTATTGGGGGGGGACGTGCAGATCTGCCCTCACAGAGGAGGGAGAGCTTGTACCTGAAGGCGGGCCAGGGGGGGGCTCTGCAACTTACCTGGCTGCTTCTTGCTCCTCGTGGCCTGACTGAGGGGTGCTGGGAGCAGGAGGCGGGGCTTGTTGCATGTGCCCGCCCCCTTACTGCCAGAGCTCCACTCCTGTGCACTCCCACAGGAAATGACCCCTGAGTAGCAGCACACAATCTCCTCCCGTGAGCTCTCATTTTGATATACCACCTGGAGGCTGGCAACCGTAACTGTCAAAGTAAGCCGGCTATGAATGCGGCGTAAATCAACCTATCTCCCTTCCCTGCAACAACCCCCCTCCATCTCCTGCAAAAATCTCTGTAAGAACCTGGGTACAGGTCCTTAATGGGGAGCTGATACAGTGGAGGTTAACTTACCCAGGCAAAGGCCAAGCCTCACCCGGAAGCCTTTATCCCACTACTAGGTTGGGGGTCGCGGTGGGGTTTATGGGTAAAAATGAAGCCACCCTGGTCCCCGATATCATAGGCCCATTCTGCAATCTAGCATTCGCTCCGCTGTTTGACCAAACTCACACTGGAACAGAAAAGGATGCGGCTCAAAACCACATTCAGATATCCCGGGCCAACGCCATACTGACTGCAGAGTCACCCCTGAACGGCCATAAAACGGCCATAAATCTATGCAGACGGTACCATAAAACCGAGAGATCAAAGGAAGTGAAACTGGTGCGTAGTGTGGAGGGGACCATAAAATCCGACAACCAAAGAAAGCGAAAGTGGCATGCAATGTAGAGGGGAATCTCTGTTCCAATGTGGGCTTGGTGAAACAGCGGAGCGAATGCTCGATGCAGAATGGGCCATAGTCTGACACCCTTCTAGTCTGCAGTTCTAACCAGCTCGCCACTTGGGGCAGCAGAGCACCAGGAAGAAGAGGAAGGAAAGTGAAAATTAAGGAAATGCTGCATACTTCCCATTGGCCCAAGTCACGTGTTGCTTCCTACATGCAGGTAAGAGTGCAGATGGCCTCAAGATCCAGACCCTTGCTGACCATGCGTTACCACAAATACTAGTGCTGAAACTGCCCTTAGTACAGCAAAATAACTACACATCGGCTCGACCTCATTTTTGCTGTCTGGAACGTCACTTGTGGACTGAATGAAGGAGAAGAGGAAGATATTGGATTTATACCCCCGCCCTTCACTACCCAAAGGAGTCTCAGGGCGGCTTACAAATTCCTTTCCCTTCCCTTCCCCACAACAGACACCTTGTGAGGTAAAAGAAGAAGAAGAGATTGGATTTATACCCCGCCCTTCACTACCCAAAGGTGTCTCAGAGCGGCTGACAAACTCCTTTCCCTTCCCCTCCCCACAACAGACACCCTGTGAGGTCGGTGGGGCTGAGAGAGCTCTTGACAGAAACTGCTCTTTTTCAAGGACAGCTCTTATCAGAACTACGGCTGAAATGAGCATTTCAGCTATAGTTATATCTATTGCTAAGAAGCACGGTGATCTCTTGTCAGTTTTCTGGAACATTTAAGGAAGCCCCTCCACTATCTAACTCCCTTTCAAAATCTGCTGGTTCTTGAATGTGTTTTGCTGGAAGCTGTGTGGATAAATTATGCTTCAGTACTGCCTCAGGTGTCACAATCCTGTTCCGGTGTCTCTTTGGACTTAGGTTCTGTGCCTGCACAGCATTTCAGGCATGGCATTCTGACTGTAAGGTCTAACTGTAAAGGTAAAGGTTTCCCTTGCTCGAAAGCCAGTCGAATCCGACTCTAGGGATCATCTCTAGGGCTCTAGGGCTCATCTCTGTTTCCAAGCCGAAGAGCCAGCGCTGTCCAGAGACGTTTCCTTCGTCATGTGGCCAGCATGACTAGTCGCCAAGGCGCATCAACGCTGTTACCTTCTTACCGAAGGGGTACTTGCAATGTCTTGCTTTCGAACTGCTCGGTTGGCAGGAGCTGGGGCCAGAGGCGGGATCTCACTCCGTCTTGCGGCACTCGGGTCTCGAATTGCTGACCTACCGACCTTCCAGTCTGCAGTTCAGCGTCTTAACCACTTGAGTCACCACAGCCCCTGTTGGAAGCATTAAAAAGAGAGAGGGAAAAGCATCCAGAACCCACCAAGGTGCTGAAAACCAACCTTGTTATGGAGGTTTGAATAATTAGCATTAACGGCTAGTATAGGTTAAAGCTGCAGCAGATGAATGTTATAGTGGCTTTTGCGTTGATGTCTTTAAATGTGCCCAGTGAGACTGAATGTGGTGTAGAAGGGGGGAAAAGTGGTGAACTGTGGAAATCTTGGCTCCAGCTGTTTGGCTATTTGGATTCAGATGAATGAAGCTTGCTGGGTGGCCCAATGGGAAATCTTGGATTCAAATCTCATCTCTGTCACGATTGTGCTAGATAACCTCAGGCAAGGTTCATGGTCTCAGATCCCCTTTGCCATCGCCAGTATGGGGATAATCATGCGGCCCAACTTTACAGGGATTAGTGAGGATTACTGAGATCATGTAGGTGATGCACTTTGAATCTATTAGTAAAGGTAAAGGTTCCCTTGCTCGAAAGCCAGTCGAATCCAACTCTAGGGTTGCGGTGCTCATCTCCGTTTCCAAGCCGAAAAGCCAGCGCTGTCTGAAGACGTTTCCATGGTCATGTGGCCAGCATGACTAGGCGCCAAGGCCCATGAACGGTGTTACCTTCCCACCAAAGCGGTACTTGCAATGCCTTGCTTTCGAACGGCTAGGTTGGCAGGAGCTGGGGCCAGAGATGGGAGCTCACTCCGTCTTGCGGCACTCGGGACTCGAACTGCTGAACTACCGACCTTCCACAGCCTGCAATTCAGCGTCTTAACCACTTGAGCCACCGCAGCTCCTTTTTTTTTTTTTTGAATTTATTAGCTCTGCCTAAATGCTTGCACTCCCAC